GCCCTCCAGCCTGGGCGACAGAGTGAGACTCCAACTCAAAAAAAAAAAAAATTATTCCTAAGTATTTTATTCCTTTTGATGCTATTGCCCATGGATTTTATTTTACTTATTTATTTTTTATTTTTTTAGTCGGAGTCTCACTCTGTCACCGAGGCTGGAGTGCTATGGCATGCTTATGGTCATCGCAGCCTCGACCTGCTGGGCTCCGGCAATCCTTCTGCCTCAGCCTTCCAAGCAGCTGGAACTACATGCACGCACTACCACGCCTGGATTATTTTTTTATTTATTGTAGAGATGAGGTCTCACCAAGTTGCCCAGGCTGGTCTCGAACCCCTGAGCTCAGCAATCCTCTCGCCTCAGCCTCCCAAAGTGCGGGGATTACAGGCTTGAGCCACTGCGCCTGGCCTGCCTATGGATTTTAAACACATATAGGCTCTTATTGTAGATACCATTTTGTATTTATATTGTTTCATTTCAATTATATCATAGACATTTCCCCAAGTTATTAAGAATTCTTCTTTGACTGAGCATGGTAGCTCATGCCTGTAATCCCAGAACTTTGGGGAGGTTGAGGATAGAGGACTGCTTGAGGCCGGGAGTTCAAGACCGGCCTAGGTAACATAGCAAGACCTCCCATCTGTTAAAAAAAAAAAAAGAAAAGAAAAGAAAAAGGATTCTTCTTCAACATTTTTTTTTTTTTGAGTTAGAGTCTCACTCTGTCACCCAGACTGGAGTGCAGTGGCATGTTCCCGGCCATCACAGCCTCGACCTGCTGGGCTCCAGCAATCCTTCTGCCTCAGCTTTCCAAGTAGCTGGAACTAGAGGCGCACGCTACCATGCCCGGCTAATTTTTGATTTATTGTAGAGACGAGGTCTCGCCAAGTTGCCCGGGTGGGTCTCGAACCGCGGGCTCAGGCAATCTACTCGCCTCTGCCTCCCACAGTGCTGGGATTACAGGCTGAGCCACTGAGTTCCACCTTCAACAACAATTTTATAAGGCTACATATTAGTCCATTGTATGGTTACACTAAAATTTATTTAGCCTCTCTGCTGTTGGGGGATATTTAGATTCTTTCCAATTTTTCCATTTGATAAATATTACTGTAATAAATGTTTCTGTGCATCTGGCTCTCTGCATTTCGGGTCATTTCCTTAGACATATTCATGTATTCTTGTTCTCTTATAGTGTGAGATCCCTTTAAACAGCAAACTCCTTGAAGCTCATTTCTCTTCTTTTGCAATGCTACATAGTCCCCAGGACTGGGTCTGCAGCCTCGGTGGCTCCTTCAGGAAGCTCCTAGGAGTCCTAGATTCTTTTCATCTTACCCCTATGTTGGACCTTGCCATAGCTCTCATAATTCAGTGATATAGGTGTCTGGTAACTTGTTTAAACTCTCACCATTTGGTGAGGGCTGACAGGATGAGGGCTGGACCTTTTAATACCTCTAGCACGTGGTCTAAATAAATACATATTGATTGAGTGAGTCAGGCAGAACAGGGAGCCAAGGACTTAGTTAGGCCAGACTAGGAATCTTGAGTAAAAGATTTATGGCCATTCAGTTTTAGGAGGGGCTGGCAAAATGTGTCACACAAATTCTGGGTTGTGAGGGCCCTTGAGGGTCACCTCTTTCTGGAGTTTTCAAACCTCTTATATATACATATGGTATTTTATATAATATACAGTGCTATATATAATATTACACACCTGTATTTATCAGGTTCTACAAGAGATGGATGTGGGGATGGTGGAAATTGAAGCCCTGTCTATGGAATGTTTCCCTGAGACATTCAGTAAAACTTATGTTTGTGAAACTAAATTAACCCATACTCTAATTTTGCAGACCAGCGAAGGGTGCTCTTGATCTTGAGAAGTGACTTGTTTAAGGTCACACAATGAGTGGCGGATTGGGAAAAGGGCTCAGATTTGACTCCCACTCACACAACATTCCCCTGTTGACCCCAGCCTCTGAGGAATGCTCTTGAGGCATCCCACATCCCTTCTGCAAGGGACTAAAATTCCAGTAACCTAGATCCATCGTTTAAAGTATAGCATATTTTAAAAGCAAAATTAGCTGGGCTCGGTGGCTCAGCCTGTAATCCCGTGCTTTGGGAGGCTGAGGGGAGTGGATTGCCTGGGCCTGCGGGTTCGAGACCTGCCTGGGCAACTTGGCGAGACCTCATCTCTACAATAAATCAAAAACTAGCTGGGTGTGGTAGCGCACGCCTGTAGTTCCAGCTACTTGGAAGGCTGAGGCGGAAGGCTCGCCAGAGCCCAGCAGTGGCCGGGAGTGGCCACTGCACTGAGTGAGACTCCAACTCAAAAAAAAAAAAGCAAAATTAATTTTATGGAAACAACTTTATGGGGATGAACAGGTATGAGACAGAGCAATTGGGACAAGACCTTATGGTGAAGTGGCAATTTTTCTTTCTGGAAGTTTCTAGGGGGCACTAAGCGAATGAAAATACGATATGGTGAGGCAGGATGAGGGATCCTCTTCAGGTTTTAGTTCTTGGGTGCTCGGTTAAGCTTTGAGACAGTTATGGATGTGGGGGCACGCGCAACTTCCCTTGCTGACTTCTTTGCAATATCTTCTTTCCTTCCCCTGCTCAATAGATCCTCATACTCGCCAGGTAAATCCAAACCCTCAGCCTGGCAGGCATTCTAGAATCCTGCATCTCCTCCAGTCCCAGCAGGTCCCAACTTTCCCGTGCTAGACTCCCCGAAACCAGGGCTTGGGCTTTATGCCTCCTTGTATCTCCAGTACCAAAGGGACAGGTCCCAGCCCAGAGTGATGAGTCAAAAAGTTCTTTTTTTTTTTTAGATTAGGAAATGTAGTTTACTTAAAAACTAAAGTAGAAGCTGGGCTCGGTGGCTCAGCCTGTAATCCCGCGCCTTTGGGAGGCTGAGGTGAGTGGATTGCCTGAGCCAGTGGGTTCGAGACCCGCCTGGGTGCTAGAGACCAGCTCCAGCCGGATTCAGGGTACCCCAAAGGTGGAGACAGCGTCGGCAATTGGGGGGAAGGAGGGAGAGAGAGAGAGAGAGAGAGAGAGAGAGAGAGAGAGAGAGAGAGAGACTGGACTCCAGTCTAGTGCAGAAGCCCCAAAATGTTCTCGATGAGCCGGGCTTGGTGGCTCAGCCTGTAATCCTGCGCCTTTGGGAGGCTGAGGTGAGTGGATTGCCTGAGCCCGCGGGTTCGAGACCCGCCTGGGCAGCGAGACCTCATCTCTACAATAAATCAAAAAATCAGCCGGGCGTGGTAGCGCGTGCCTGTAATTCCGGCTACTCGGAGGGCTGAGGCGGAAGGATCGCCGGAGCCCAGCGGGTCGAGGCTGCGGTGGCCGGGAGCGGCCACTGCACTCCAGTCTGGGCGACAGAGTGAGACTCCAACTCAAAAAAAAAAAAAAAAAGTACTTGAAGAACCTACTGAAATCTCTAGGCTTTTACAGATGACTGTTCCCGAAAGCTGAGTATTCATTCCTGCAAAAACACGGCAGAGGCATCACCCTTTCTGCCTCCACGAATCTCTTGGGCCACTCTCGATACTTCCCTAGAGTTTTCCTTCTTCGACTTTGTGCCCAGGACTAGCTCCATGGGGGACCCCAAACTGTTGTTCGCATCCCGAGTGGGTCAGTTAGGACTGAAGTCTTCTAACTGCTCAAGGATCGCAGGGAGGAAGCACGTGGAAGACGATCGGAATCTCTGAAAGGAGAGTGTGCCAAGGTCCAGTTTCCATGGCAACCATATCAGCAAGTTGCCGCCACGGTAGCTTCGGGGATCCCCGGATGACCGCGATTTGGGTTCCCGCGGGCGTCTCTATGGTTTCCACAGCCTAGAAGGACCGAAACGGCATTTCCGGGAAGATGGCGGCGCACAGGTCAGACTTGGCACATGTTTCCGCGGAGAGGATCCGGCAATGACGGTAAGGGGCCCCTTTCCCTGGAATGGTGGTAATCGGAGCCCAGGCTCAGTAGCCACATGAGAGCAGCGGAGTATTTCTACCCAAGTGACACTGCAGCGGGGGCCTGGGATTTAGACCCTTAGAGGAAGGAGGTCTAGGGAAAGGGGAGCCGGCTCTTCAGGGCGCTGTAGGACCAGTGGCCCTGGGCCACTTCTGAAAACTCAGATTGACTGGAGAGGATACAGTATTTCCAAAGTGTGCTCGCAGCCTTCACAGAGACTGCCGCGCACAGCTTTTGCCCAGTTACCTACCCACTGAAAGTAAGTTAAAGCGATTCCCACCCCTGTCATTCACGTCATCAAATAATGGCTGAACGTATTCTTGATATCTGGCTCTGCGTTAAGTGCTCTGGGGTTGGGAAATCACGCCTGTCTCTTCCAGGGCGTGTAGTTTGGAATTAATGCGACAAGTGTTCGGTTGTGGTCTTGCAGCAGAAAGCACAGAGAGCTATAAGCGACTGAAGAGTGTAGTCATGAAGAACACTAGTTCTGGAATGCCTGAATACCAATTTTGGATCCACTAATTGTTAGGTATTTGATTTGGGTAACTAAACCTCTTCAGTGTGTTTTCTCGTTTGTAAATTACAGATACTAACACTTCCAGTAGGGTTGTTGGCAGGATTAATTATCCATATGAAGCAATTAGCAACAGACTGGCATTGAGTAAATATGCAACAAGTGTTAGTAAATTTAGTGTATAAGTTGGATAATAACATTCTGGATCCAAAAAGAGGAATATATAAATTATTGTAAAGAAACAACACCTGCCGGGCATAGGGGCTCACACTTTAAAACCAGCCCTTGGAGCTGGGCTCGGTGGCTCAGCCTGTAATCCTGCGCCTTTGGGAGGCTGAGGTGAGTGGATTGCCTGAGCCTGCGGGTTCGAGACTCGCCCTGGCAACTTGGTGAGACCACATCTCTACCATAAATAAAAAATTAGCCGGGCGTGGTAGCACGCGCCTGTAGTTCCAGCTACTTGGAAGACTGAGGCGGAAGGATTACCGGAGCCCAGTAGGTCGAGGCTGCGGTAACCGGGAGCGGCCACTGCACTCCAGTCTGGGCGACAGAGTGAGACTCCAACTAAAAAATAGTAATAATAATAATAATTGTGTAAAGTCTTAGCATAGCCAGGCATGTGGTGAGCTCTCCATAAATTAGGTGTCAGTAAGCACCAGTCCTCCTTCACTTCTTGACGTGTTGATGTTGGTCTCTCTAGCCACACAGAGAGCTCTCCAAAGGCCAGGTCTCCTTCCCAGGACTCGGGAAACAATGTTTTATTTCTTTATTATGAGACAGGATCTTGCTATGTTGTCCAGGCTGGATTGAACTCCTGGACTTAAGCAGTCCTCTCAACTCAGTCTCCCAAGTAGCCGGGACATGCTACTGTGCCTGGCTAGGAAAAGGAATTCTTATACAGGCAGTCAGGATGGAGCTGATGGCTGTTCTGGGTGCTTTCTCCTTTCCTCTTAAAAGGATGATATCACCTCCTCGTCCCTAGTGAGAGTCTGCGGACAGAGACTTTTTTCTCACCATGAGTATCACTCCGGAGGTCAAGAGTCGTGGGATGAAGTTTGCCGAGGAGCAGCTGCTAAAACATGGATGGACTCAAGGTGACCCTGACCCCCTTGGGCCCTCTTCTACATCCCCCAACTCCCTATCTTCCCTCTGCCTGTAGAGAGGCTCATCTTGGACTATTTTCCATGCAGTCCATTCAGTTGAAGGAGGAAAAGCTAGGTTAAGGAGAAATTTGCAGATATTTTCTGGCTTTTCCAGAAAAGGGAAGAGTGGAAGAAATTTGACAATGGATAATGAGGAAGAAATGGGTGGGAGCATGAGAGGAGGGAAGAAGAGAAATGGCCTCTGTCCCAAAAGAGTTATGAAGGAAGAAACAGTTCAGGCTCAGAGACAGGGGACTGCACGGGGAGGTACTAGAATGAGAGGCACTGGGAGGGCTTCTGAGAGGGCTGAGGATGCCTTAGTGCTAGTGTGTGCGAATGGCAAGGAGCAGCACAGGGTGGAGGGGGGTAAAGGGGTGCCTTGTGAGGGCTCAGAACAGGCAGCAGAATAAGCCATGTCACTGTCCTCTGCAGGCAAAGGCCTGGGCCGGAAGGAGAATGGCATCACTCAGGCCCTCAGGGTGACGCTGAAGCAGGACACTCACGGGGTAAGACTGGGCAGGCTGAGGAATGTCAGCATGGAAGAAAGAGGGGTACCCTGAGGGCAGGCGAGGCGGATACTCAGAGCTTGTATTTATTCCCCTGGCAGGTGGGACACGACCCTGCCAAGGAGTTCACAAACCACTGGTGGAATGAGCTCTTCAACAAGACTGCAGCCAACTTGGTGGTAGAAACTGGGCAGGTATGAGCTGTAATCGCTGGACACATGAAACACAGCCTGGGACGTATGGGGCGGGGACACATGGCATGTCACTGACTCACTGGCACTGATAATTCCTTACAGGATGGAGTACAAATAAAGCACCGTTCTAAGAAGACCACCCGTCATAACCATCCCAAGCCCAACTTGCTGTATCAGAAGTTTGTGAAGGTATTAGAGGCTGGGGGCAGTAAGGGAGTCCATCCTGTTTTCCTTGGGGCCTGGACAGTTGCCTTTATGCTTTACCAGTTCTCAGGACCGTCCTAACATAGTGGGATCCTGTGACCAATCTTGCTGTTGCTCACTTAGAGTGCCCAGCCCTCAGCAAGAGTTGGGACCTTCAGGTTCCATAGATCCTTCAATCTGTTGAGGGAGTAGAAGTCAGGGCACAGCCCCTCACTTCAGGGCCTGCTAGGTTGAGTGGGGGAGGGCATCTACTTCAAAGGACTCAGGAGCCACAGGAGACCTGCGAGATGATCTGGTCCATCCTCCCTCCTTACTTTGCAGATATAAACAAAGGGTGCAGGTGGCTTGCTGAAGAGCCCACATGTGGCTAGTAATGGCAGACAGGACTAGAACCCAGGTCTTCAGACTCCTGCTTTCTACTATACCAACAGAAGGAAGCTAGTATGTAGTGGTCATTATATATCAAGGGCTTCACACATTATCTGGCAAGTCTTTCCCAATTCTCTGTATCTCTTCCCTCTCCTGCCCCACTTCAGGCCATCATCGGCTCTGCCTGATTTCCTTAACAGCTTCTCCACCTCTTGTCTCTCTCTCCCCCTCAGTCAGTCCATCCTCCACAAAGCATGAAGAGTGTCCTCTCTAATGCACAGGTGACATCGGGTCACTGGCTCCTCTTTAACCTGGGATAACACAGTCCAGATGTATCAGGCTGGTTCCATGGCCTTGCATGCCTTCCCTGCCTTCTCCAGCCTCTTCTCTTGCCACTTCTCTTGAGGACTGCTACACTTTAGAATCTGGGGTTTTTTTTGGTTTTTTTTTTTTTTGAGTTGGGGTCTCTGTCACCCAGGTTGAAGTACAATGGCATGATCACAATGATCATGGCTCATGGCTGTCTCAATCTTCCAGGCACAAGCAATCCTTCCAACTCAGCATCCTGAGTAGCTGGGACTACAGGCATGTGCCACCCCATCTGGCTTATTTTTTAATAGAGACAAGGTCTTGCTAAGTTGCCCAGGCTTGTCTTGAACTCCTGGGCTCAAGCACTCTGCCCACCGTGGCCTCCCAAAGCGTTGGTATTATAGGTGTGAGCCATTGTGCCTGGTGAATGTGTCTTTTTTCTTTTTGAGTAGGAGTCTCACTGTCACCCAGGCTGGAGTGCAGTGGGACGCTCACAGCCACTGCAGCCTTGACCTGCTGGGCTCAGGCGACCCTTCTGCCTCAGCCTTCCAAGTAGTTGGATCTACAGGTACATACCACCATGCCCAGCTAATTTTTTGATTTATTGTAGATGCAGTCTCGCCAAGTTGCCCAGGCTGGTCTTGAACCCATGGGCTCAGGCAATCCTCTCACCTCCGCCTCCCAAAGTGCTGGGAATACAGGCATGAGCCACCATGCCAGGTGAATGTGTTTCTTTTCTATGAAGTTACCCCATTCTTCCACCTCCAGAATAGCATGTTCTATTCTGTCTGGGACATTCTTCTCCCTTTCCCCCCCTTTATCTGCTGACTTTCTCTTGTCTTCCACAGCTTGTGTACATATCAGTTACTTCTAGAAATCATTTCTCAAATCCTGAAGTCGAAGGCAGTACCGCTTCTCTAGCACAAGCAACACCTCGGTCATAACTGCCTGTGTTCTGCATGCTCTGCGCCCCACCCCACACGTAGATGCCATCTGGGCTGGACTCCTTCCATTCTTATCTCACTCTGTCCTCTGAACTCCTTGGCCCATAGTAGACTCAGTTAATTTGGTTAAATGAAGGTGATGTGAGAGGGGTACTATAGGGTGGAGGGGGCACCTTTATTGTCAGTTACTGGCACTTGTCCCACTGTGAAGCCTGATGAAACAGTATTTCCTCCCTTCTTGCTCTGTCCACCAGCCAGCTGTGGGCCAGGAGGCCAAAGCTGCTCTACCTCCAGCAGCTGCAGCCACCTGTCCACCTTCAAGTATGCAGGATGGCACACTTCCTGGCTCTTCAAGGAGCAATGTTGAGGGCTAGCAGCTGCTGCCTAGGGCTGTGAATTCATAGGGGGCTCCCACAGGGAGTAGGGCTAAACAGTAGTGTTGGAAAGGCCTTGTCTATCCCCACGATCTCTCTAGACGGCCACGCTGACTTCAGGTGAAGAGAAGCCAGAGAGGGACATGGAGAGCTGCAGCGATGACGACAAGCAGGGGCCCTCGCCCCCACAGATGTGAGACTTTCTTTTAGCACTGGGGCTTGCGGGAGGAGATGCCCTCAGACCTAAGAGAAATGACCAAGTCCAAGGCTTGGCTGTGGGCTCCTGGCAGGGGGGTGAAGGTGGAACTTTGTATCCCTAGCACCTCAAAACAAGTGCCAGATCCTGAACAAGAACTCAGTGTTGAAGGCATGTTTTACAGGGAGAAGGCAAGCCTTTCCCCCAGGTCTGGGTGTAACATCTGATCTCCTCCCAACAGCCTGACTGACGAAATGCTGCTCCAAGCCTGTGAGGGGCGGACGGCACACAAGTAAGTAGTGGTCAGCTCCTCGGGCTCCCTTCTCTTCTGTCCACACTTGAGGAGAGCCAGTGCCACCTCTTGACACTTCTTACCCCAAGTAAATGATTCCTACTATCCATCTACTACTTGAAAATAGCACCCCACTCCCCCATCCCCTATCAACCTTCACTGTAGGCCTGAGGATTAGGCCCATTTCCACTAATAACCTTCGCTATGACCTGACCCCATCTATTTCAGGGCTGCCCGTCTTGGGATCACAATGAAAGCCAAGCTCGCTCGGCTAGAGGCCCAGGAGCAGGCCTTCCTGGCTCGTCTCAAAGGCCAGGACCCTGGGGTCCCTCAACCACAACTCCCTCAAAAAAGGAAAAAGAAAAGGAAGCAGAAGGAAGAGGAAGAGCCTACAGTATCTGAAAGGAATGTGGGTGAGAAGCACCCAGAACACACCAACCAGAGCATCAAGACAAGCAAGAAGAAACGGCGACATCAGGAAGGAAAGGTCTCTGATGAGAGAGCGGGAATAGCCACAGGGAACAAGGAGGAGGAGGCGGCTGCAGAAGCAAGTGGACTCAGGGCAGTGAAGAGCAGAGAACAAACTGGTCAGTCCCCTAGGAAAAAGAAGAAGAAGAGGCAGCACCATGAGGAGAAGCTGCAGGCCTTGGATAAAGAGGAAAGAGGCAAGGAGGCCGCAGGCAGGACCAAGGAGCTGGCAAGCAGAGCATACACAGATCCTGGCAGCAAATGCAGGAAGAGGCGGCAGCATGAGGACCTGAGCTTTGAGGATGAAATTGCAGAAACTATCTTAGATGGTGGTGGCAGGGATGCAGAAAGCAGAGCATGCAGTGATGGGAGAACCAGGAGAAGCAAGAAGAAAAGAAAGCATCAAGGGGAGGAGGATGTCTTGCATGTAAGGGGTGAAAGAGATAAGGACGGCAGGACTGGAGAGGTGGAGAGCAGAACACATGCTGGCTCTGGCCACCAAGCCAAGAGGAACAGGCAGCAGCACGCAGAGGAGGGGAGAGCTGGAGTCGGCACCAACCAGAGCACCAAGAAGAAGCGGAAGAAAGACTGACAATCTTTGCTGGTGATGCTCAATCAACTCATTTTGAAGAGCTGAAATCTCAGAGACCTGGCTTGACATACATCTTTGGCACATCCCAAATGAGTCCCTCCTAAGGAGGAAACAGTTCTGGAACATCAGTCTGCTGAGGACATAGCGGTAGTGCCATGCCTTAGTTGAGGGAATGGGCAGTTCCCTCTGCGACTTCTGACTCAGAGCTCATGAACTCTGTGTCTGCAGAAGCCTGGCAGCTCAGGGGCCAGGAATGCTGGGGGCTGTGGGCACAGGAACGCAGATACCCTTTGACAGAGAGAGCATCCCTGTTAGAAGCAGCTGAAAATGTAGACTTATATGAAATGTTCTGATTTCTGTATACTGTAAAGGCTAAGAAAAACAACAAATGTAGGGCTGTGCGCTGGATTTAGTCCACAGGTAGCCAGTCTCTAGCACTACCAAATGAATGAATAAACACCAGCTTGGGCTCCTAGCCTACTGATAAATCCCGACTAGTATTTCCATTCCCAGACTGGGAAAGTCCTGAATACAGATTAGATTTTCCATGGAGGCCTTTGAAGGAATTCCCTTTGCTCACCTTGTAGTCTTGCTACCCTGGTAAGCAGAAGCAGCTCCTTGTCTGTGTGTCAAATGGATAAGGATCACCCATGTATGAAGGACAGCACTCAGCATCTCACAGTCCATTTTCATTGCTTGTAAATACTGTAGCAACCTCTTGCCTGCTTTGCTTCCCCTAGAGATGGTACCACATCCCAGTGTTGCTCCTGCCAGCCACTAACCTTTATTGCTAGAAGAGCTCCCCCAGGACCCCACAGTTCTGGAGAGAGAGGCACTAAGTCTTTATTGGGAAGAGCGTCTACCCACCTTCCCTCACTGCAGACGATAGACACACTCGGTGTCAGGGTAGGATGGCAGGTTCAGCTGGTACTTCTTTTCCAGAGCAGGGGGCACAAAACGACCCCCCAGGTAATGATAGCGACCGGTAAACTGGGTTGCAGACTTTTTGGGTGCCGTCAGCGAAATGAGCAAGTCTGGCTGGATCCCTCCACCTCCAGAGTTTCCTTTTTCTACATCCCATCCTGGAAGAAGAGTAATGTTCAGGGAGAGTGGAAGAGGCCAGATGTCCAGTCCCTTCCACACCTTGCTTTACCCCAATCCTGAAGGAGTGGGGAGCCCCCTCTGACCCCAACCAGATGAACTCTCATCCTACAAGCTCCATGTACCCTTGGGCTTTGGTCTCCTCATGGAACCAACGTGTAAAGGGGGCTCTTGAACTCTGCTCCCCAGCCCTGATGTGGAGTCCAGAAAGCTGTGTTCTGCCCCTCTAGACTCAAATTATTTTGGACCTGGTCTGAGCCATTGCTCAAGAATCAGGAGGCTGGGCGTGGTGGCTCACACCTGTAATCACAGCACATTGGGAGGAGGAAGCGAGAGCATTGTCTGAGCTCAGGAGTTCAAGACCAGCCTAGGTAACATGGCAAGACCTCACCTCTATTGTAAATTAAAAAATTAGCCCGGGTGTGGTGGCTTATGTTGTAATCCCAGCACTTTGGGAAGCTGAGGTGAGAGAATTGCCTGAGCCCAGGGGTTTGACAAAAGCCTGGGCAACTTGGTGAGACCTTATCTCTATAATAAATCAGAAAATTAGCCAGATGTGGTGGCATGCACCTGTGGTTCCAACACTTGGGAGGCTGAGGTGGAAGAATGGCCTGAGCCTAGCAGGTCAAGGCTGTGGTGGCCATGATCGTGCCACTGTACTCCAGCTTGGGTGACAGAGTGATTCTCTGACTCAAAACAAAATTATCTAGGCATGGTGGCATGTGCCTGTAGTCCCAGCTACTTGGGATACTGAGGTGGAAGGATTGAGCCTAGTGGTTGAGGTTGTGATGGCTGTGATTGTGCCACTGTACTCCAGCCTAGGTGACAGTGAGACTGACTCGAAAAAAAAAAAATCAAGCCGGGCTCGGTGGCTCAGCCTGTAATCTCGTGCTTTGGGAGGCCGAGGTGAGTAGATTGCCTGAGCCCATGGGTTCAAGACCTCCCTGGGCAACTTGGTGAGACCTCATCTCTACAATAAATCAAAAAATTAGCCGGGTGTGGTAGCTGTGCCCATAGTTCTGGCTACTTGGAAGGCTAAGGTGGAAGGATTGCCAGAGCCCAGCAGGTTGAGGCTGCGATGGCCGGGAGCGGCCACTGCACTCCAGTCTGGGTGACAGAGTGAGACTCCAACTCAAAAAAAAAAAAAAAAAATCAGTACTTTTGAATACCACCTTTGAGACACAGGGTAGGACCCCAGTTCCCCCAATCCTCTGTATCCCAGCACCTGAGGGAATGTCAATGCTGGCAATGGGCACAGTGAGTCCCTTCAGGACACCGAGGATGCTGCGAAATGGCTCTCGAACATCGCCCTTGAAGCTGAAGCCGAAGATGGCGTCCACCACCAGCTCATATAGCTCATCAATCATCGTGGGCTGTGGTGGAGTAGGAAACGGAAAGGATTTGAGAGCCTTAACTGGAGAAAGCTGTCCTCTGCAACCACGACCACTCACAGAGGCACAACTGTATCTGCATCTCATTCAGAGGGCACCCTGAAGCCTAGAGGGAGTTGGCCACTGATTCAGGCGAAACTGAGTGCAGACATTTTCTGTTCATAGTGTTGGCCTCCTACTGGGAAGTCTATGGTGTGGGATAGCCTGAGACTGGGAGTCAAGAGGGCCAGATTCTGGCTCAACTCTGCCATGATTCAATTCTGTGGCAAACTCCTTCTCTACGTTAGTATCTTCATTTATAAAGCGGGTTAAGAATATAAATATATAATCTCAAATGTCCCATCTCCAAAGCAATGTGTCTGCAAAAAGGGTTAGGGTGAGGCAGTCACTCCAACTCCTGAGAGGGGCAGACAGCGTGTTTACTACATGCCAGGGGATCTGACTCCAGGGTGTAAGGAGTGACCAAGGAAGGTGAAGAGGAAAGAAGCTTTAGAGATGGTGGTGCTGGGGACTCATGGGGCACTTTATAAGGAAGAGAAGGCTTCAACACGCCTTCCACTACAGCATCATTAAGGTGCATTCTATGTCAGGCACCAAGATGGGCTCAGCCTGGAAGCAGGAAGGCAGAGCAGGGCACAGGCAGTGGTCACTGGGGATATGAGGTATTGACTGGGGCCACCTACCTCTGGGGGCATTTCACCAAGGAAAGGGATGTCCATTTTTTGACACTGGGTCACCAATGCAGTGAAGAGTGGCTTGCTAGGTCTTTTGGGGTAATAAATGGTTGGTTCATAGCCCTAAGAAAGAAAAGTGGTAATTCAGTCCCAGAATCCTATCCCCTCCCCCATGGCCCCTCCTGACATACTCACAAAAAGCTGGAGGTGTCGAGCGCAGACCAGGCCATCTCCTCCATTATTCCCCGGACCACAGATGACCAGGACAGCAGGGGGGCTCCTGGACATGGACTTGGGGGGATATGCCTGAAGGCAAAGTCAAGAGGGGTTCAGGGCTGTTTCAGGCAGTAACAGGCCAGGCAGGCCCAGCGGTCTCTCCCATCCCTTTGTGCCTAGGGTAGGGGGCTTGGACAGACAGCGCTCCTCTCAAAGGCTGAGGGTTGTGCCACTGACCTTGGCAATGGCTGTGGCACAGCTCAGCCCAGCCAGCTCCATGAGTTGGTCCACGCTGAACCGGTACTCGTTAAACAGCTCTTCGTCCACGGCCTGGGCCTCCTGCTGGCTGAGGGACACCTGGGCCTGAGTCCCCGCCCCTCAGAGGCGCCGGCGCCGGCGGCGCGGCCGTCCGGTCCCGCCCCGGAGGGAGAGCAGGCCACCCTCGCCGACGCGCCCCCCGCGCCCGCCTAGGGCCTCGCCCACCTCAGGTACTTCACCGTCGTGCTCGCCATGACCTCGGAGTACCCGCGGCCGCCCGAGTTCAGCCGCTGCGGTGCCCACCAGGTGGGTCCCGAGCGGCAGGCGCCGGCCGGGCTTTTGATTCGCTGCAGGCGCGAGCCCGCAACCAGCAGCCCGAGCCCCAGCAGCGCCCGCAGTCCCGACATCCAGCCCGGAGCGCGCCGCCCGCCCG